CATTCATATGCGTATAGCAGAGTTCCCGACCAATTCAGCGCTGCTTCTTTCAAAAATGTCCAGAAATGAAATCATCTACAGTGAGTGACCCATCTCATGAAATTTTGGCTGAAATTCTGAAATGCGTTTTCGATAAGGATGGATTACTTAAGGCCGGATGCAAAACTGACTTTCTTGCGGCATAATTCTATAATATTTCGGACTTGACAGAGCGTCAGCCTTTGCATGCACTGCTTTAAAATCTCCCTTATAAACCGTATTCGGAAAGAAGTGACTACTTATTTAGCGTGCACATTTCGCATTGATTTTTGATGGTTTTGCAAATTCAAATATATTTTATAGAAACCACGGACAAAAATATGCTTTCCATCAGTCTTTTGATAGATATTCATGTCGTTTTTATAATTTGTGCTCGAAGAAGGAGTATACTTAGTTTTTGAAATAGTTTCTTATATGAGATTTTTCAAGACCGTGCAACATCCATTCATGCAGCATATTACCTGTCTGTTTACCACTGTTCCTCATGAAATGTACAACATGGTCCGCATCCATTGCCACATTTTGTATCCTGTGTAGTATCTTTTTAAAGGCACCTTGTGGACTGAAATCATTAAGCGCTAATGCAACGGCTGATCAGGCTGCAAATTAGTGGGGAATTAGAAAACTCCTTTTAACAGTTAATTATACACTTTTTGCGAATAAAAATATAAATATGATGTGATTCTCTATCAAACGACTAAACAAAACCATATTTTGTTTGGGGGTTTCTATAAGATACATTTGAATTTACAGGACCATCGAAAATCATTGTAAACATGCTTGATAATTAAGTAGTCATTTTTTTACCATGCAGGGTTTCTACAGAAGATTAAAACGTAGAGCATTCAAAGGCTGACACCGTGCCAAGTCCGAAATGTATTAGAGCAATGTCCCATGATAATGAATGTTTCAAACCCACCTAAGTAAACCTTTGTTATCGAAAACACATTTCAGAATTTCAGCGAAATTTCATGAGATCGGTTACTCACTGTACATACAAAACAAGTTTAGAACAAATAACAGGATAGTCAACTAAGGGAGGAAGATTTGATGGCTCTTTCATGAGGGGTCTGCAAGTGGTACTGCTGGAAAATGCGGTCACATTTTAAACATCGGCAAACTTAAGGCCTTATCGATGTGAAAAACATGAATAGACCTGCAGACGCATACCGAGCATTCACTGCAATCGGTGGGATGACCAATTTACGCAAATCGATTGCGTCTCCTGAAACAGTGTCGCCGACTGTTTCGCCGTGCCTAAAAACAGACCGGTTGACAGATATCAACATCACTATGACAAGCAGACGTCTATGAGGGAAGATAGAAATGACTTTAAAAGAAACGAGCCTCTAGTAGGGGACGGCTTGGGGACAAAACGTCAAAGAGGTCAGTGTGAATGTGGAATGCTATGGAGGAGTCAATTTGACTGAAAAGACGGATTTCAACAGAGTTTGGCGATAAGGTAGCAATTCGCTTACGGTTCGTTTGACGTACAATTGCTCCTAAGCATTCACCCGCCATGAATTCTTTACCCCTTTTTTTTCTAGTAAGCACTCGCGACAGCACTTCACATGCTGGAAGCGGTCTATTGCGCACGCACACTGGAAACTCTGGAGCAGTCAGGGTCAGGAGTTCAGTCATGACCACCCCAGTCCACTGCTTGTGGCTGCGCGAAGTCCTGCAGGCGTAGTCTTGAATGTCACAGGCCACTGCACACGATCGACCACTTTGCAAAACGCTTGACGCAAAAGTAAGTTGACCTCGTGGATGATGTGGCGGCGCAGGGTTTGTGTCAGCCTGCCTCTTATGCCAATCAATGGGAGTGCGTGGGCGTCGGTGATGAAAATCGCCATGTTACTTTCGCGCCAAATGACAGAAGGAAAGATGGGAGAGATGCCGCAGATGACTTTAGGGCAGGGCCAGTTGAAAGCGCCAATTATAAGGGGTGTGCAATGTCATGACACGCGTGTGCTTTGAATGATGCAAAATTTGTGCAGAGCTCTAGCCCTGACTCTGTCGGTCACAGCGTGAATTCGCAATTTTAGGCAATTAATACTCTTGTTGTATCGATCTCCGCGTGGTCGCTTTCTTAGTTCCCCAAACTGCGGCCACTGGTTGTGGAACGGGACGATATTTTGTTTATTAATCGACTGCTTCGCTGCAGTCAGTGAGTCCAGCAGCCCTGACTTGTATGTAAAAGTCGACAAGTTTACCACAATCGACTCTCTTACAGTTACCCTGCACAAACTCAGACGTCCAATTTCCTTCAGTATTGTTTGCTTATAGTTTGTTTGATGTTAAAAAGAAATATCATAACTGTCGTGTTAAATCGAACCCTTCTTCCATGGGCTACAGGCTTGTATTTTGCGAATTAAATCACCTGATACAGTTGGATATGCCCTTGTGACTGTCAGTGCGGTGAGATCAACTTTAAACACGCACAATTATTTCGTTTCGTCTTCGGTCGGAAATCAGGGTGATGTTAGGACTAGTTTATTCTGAACACAGGGCAGGTTGCCGTAAGTTGGCTGTTTGCTTGCGACCGAGGTGAGCGTCCGTTCACGGAGTGCGTCAGTCGAGGTGTTTTGTTTACGCGGGAGTGTATGTCTGTGTCAGTAGGTGGGGCTGACTGGCGGAGTGCTGGTCATGCGATCGGACGAATTAGGGGAACATTAGAGGGGCACATAATCACAGGAGCTCACGGGAATCAAGCCATGTCGTCTGACGTGCGTGAAGTGATAATAGTTTGTCAGGGCAGCCGGGAGTCAGTGCAGCTGGACAGGAGGGGCCCCATTTCGCTCCGGCGGGGGTTGTCGTGTGCCGGATGCGTGGAAACGATTGTCGCGGCCATCGATCGACAAAACGGAGCCGGAGAAAATGGGGTCTGGATTTGCTGCTACATCCTAAACCAGACTGGGGATATCTCGCATAGAATTCGCTCGAGGTTAGACTGTTAAGCACGGTCGGACAAACTAGCACAACATCCTTTAGAATTGGATTTTGTACACCGTTTTTCTTTTAAATCGTCAGTTGAACAACACGGTGTGCCCAGATCAGTCAGGTCTGCTGTCCAGCAAAAAACCAAGCCGAGATATTTACTGTTTAGATCAACACAGCAAGCGGCCGAGTCACCTCCAATGGTAAACAGGAAAAGCCCGCATAGTGACTGTACTGCCCGATCAAAAACGTGGATCTTACTCCGAAACGCGCTAGGCTGCAGATTCAGAGGCCTGGGTAATGCGCCATTGGTTTCAATATCGTCGTTGGCCTCCAGTGCCAAGTGCTCTGAACTGAATTACCGTGCCAAATATGCATCTCACACGGCAGTCCGTTTGTAGTCCGTTTTTCAGAATTCAACTAGAGAAGATAGATCATGCACTTGATGAGACTGTATTTTTGATTATTCTCATATGTATATGGCATACAGACAAATTAGTGGTGAAAGGCAGTACGTAATATAGCAACCTCCTGAGATAGGCTACCAGACCACGATATCAAGAGCAGACTTACAATGCATCATTTCTTTCCTCTAGTATAAATTACTATTACAAAATCCTTGTAAATGAAATATATTTTCCCGACCAGTTGTTGATGCCTGTAATGTCATCACTCTAGTCGTTTTGATTCGGTCACAATTAGGAGTCGTAATTATTGGAAAATTTTCAGCATTTGCTGCTTCCTTATATTACACAAGCGTTGCTCTGATGCATACTTCAAAATTGCGCTTCCCGATTTACTTCATTCTGCGACGGATCAGAAAAGCCATATCGGGGTAACGAAGTGCTCGACACGGTCAGCCTTGCTCCCATGCACATTTACGGGAAAGAGGTAATTCATCCACCAGGCTACTCGTTGAGTTAACCTCAAAATAGTTTAACGAAGGCGAAATATCTAGATGCTATTTAAATTAACATTTTTTCGGTTATGGTGTTGGAAAGAGTGGCAGGATTTTAAATATTAGCACACTTTAGACAGCGAAATGCTGGCAAGCGCAAAGCCAAATTGGGCGCATATACTACTACCAATAACGAATCCAGATTACGCAAATCGCCTTCATATTCTGGTTGCACGAGGCCTAGCCGTTTCGCGAACGCGAGACTTATTGGTTATTAGATATTGACGTTACTACGACAGCCAGTGCGCACATATCATATTTTTACCCATCTGTTAACGATTTCGCATTTATGGATAAGGTATATACCTGATTAGTTTGTTCCCATTGTTTAAACTTTTAGCTCACGCACGCGCCTAGGCGGTCCCGGAGGAAGCGAGGCTCTTTGTCCGCTGATTTTAATGGCGGGAATGCTGGCACCTCGTGTTCCGGCATTGTCTTTCAGGTTGCCGGAAAACAGGGCTATGACGAAAAAACGTGCGGACTTTTTACCATCAATTACGAAGGAATTTATTCGCCGCCATCAAGAAGTGTGCAAAAAAACATCTCGTGCAGTCAAATGTTTCTGCGTATTCCAAATAAGACACTCACATTCTTGTGCAACGCGCATGATTTCAATCCAAATCGAAAACGTGACTACACATAAACGGGCTATTATATAAGTTCTGAAATTCCAGACGTCGGGGTTTTACTGATCACCACACAAAATGCAAGCCACCCAATAAAGTCTTTAGGAAAAAATGAAAAAAAGCAGGCTGGGATGTCAGTCGATGTCAGCTTTTCAACATCAGAGGCAAATAAGCCAGCAGAAAAGGCAACAACGAACTGGGAGTTTCTTTATCCGTATTGTTGTTGCAAGGCGCATATCCGTAATAAAGAATTTCGGCCCATTTTAAGGACGTCCACGATGCCATTACAGCCGATGCCGGAAGTGCTGTGATAATTGTGTACTCTGATCTATCTGAACAATTACCTCAGAAGTGTAGTCAACATCTGACGTTTCTGCTTACGGTTGTGTCCTAGAAGAGTCCGCGAAGGGAATGACTGACAGCTGGAAAACCATTTTTCATCAGCTTTTGCGGAAAATAGAGTGCATGTTGCAGCAAAGAGACGAGTGGATAACGATAACGAGGTCGTTGTCGGCCCTGAGTTCCTTAAGTGTATCGCGCTCGACCTTGGAAAGCACATCGCGCGGCCTATGCGCCATGAGGAGGGAGGACACTTGGTGTCGAATGAGGTTCTTCGTTTCGTCTGTCGCTTCAGTCTGGCTGAGGATTGGTTCCACTACTGCGATCATGTTGGCAGGTTTGGCATCGGCTGCGTTGAATGAGGCCTCATGCCGTAAAACCTGCATTTGTTCCTCCGTCATCTCCTTTGACGACAAGTTGTGCACCAGTTTGCCGTTCTTGGATGACATTGGAGCAGGCAGCTTACGAAATTTGCTCTCTAGGGCTGGTTCGCGCGTTGCTTTATGTTCGCGGGTTCGTTCGGCCAGCCTCTGCTGAAGCAGGTTTATGCCGTCCTCTCCCATGAACTCGCAGCACCTTGTTTTCTCTTGGTCAATCCTCTGACAGTATTTGCGGTTTCGTGAGTGACAGTCTTGAGAGAGCACTCGGATTATTCGTCGGCCGTGCTGAAATACTTCGCCCCTCGCCAGCTCTGTGTTGACCGGAGGTTTGTATTAAACGCGCTTCGGTTGCACATTGTTGTCGAGACACCTTTGCAGAAATCGAATCTGCGCATATGTAGACGACTCTCGAAGGGCAAAGGTTTCCCACCGTCGGGCCGATCGGAGCGCGATGATAGCCTGTCAGTCCGCGTCAAAGTGTCGTCCACATACTGAGACCGGAATATCGGCCTGTGATTTCGGAATGACAACGACACAAAACCTTGCCAATAGAAGCGAAGAGACCAGTCCCAGGAAGTAGCCTCGAAGAAGGAGACACGACCGCTGGGACAAGAGCCTGATTAGCCTGACGTTTCGGATTCCTGATCAAACTTATCATCAGAGACAAACGCAGATGCGGGTGGTCCATACGAAAGGGGCTGCAGTATTTATAGGATTAAGTCGCTATGCTACCGCATACCTATGGACATTCACGGCTCCCGCTTTCATCCAGGATAGTCGGACTTGGTGAAATGAATGTTTGATGGCCGACAATAGCGTCGTTCATTGTTGCAATTTCGTCACGTGCGTAAGGTGTTGGTGTGATGATTGCTCGACCATATGACCCACCGAGCCTATACATGGGAAGAGTGTTCACTTGTGCGCTCCCGCGTGGCTAATTTCTCTGCCTAGGCGAAGTCTCAGCACCGAGTATGGAATGGAAGATCATTGCACTTGTTAATGGACTGGGGGCCAATAAACCATGATTCATGTAGCTCCCCGCTCACGCGGTTGTTTACTCTTGTCGCGTTTAAATTGAATGGGTGTTCGGATCTCGTCGAATGAGCCGCAACGGAAGAGCTGGCGTCATTTCTCCGCACCGCTGCATGGCGGCTGCATCCTATAAATACTGCAGCCCCTTGTGCATGAACCACCCGTATCTGCTTTTGTCTCTGATGATGGGGTCGATCAGGGATCCAAAACGTCCGGCTAATAAAACTCTTGTCCCAGCGATCGTGTCGTCTTCTTCTTCTTCAACAGAGTGTTAGTCGATCATTTTACTTTAAATTAAACAGGCCACTCTGCCCTGCGTGTTTTCCGATGTGTCCTATTGACTCCAAAATAACCGCATAAAACCCAGTCTAGGAACGATAGCAAATACTTAGAGGATGAAAAAGGTAATCAAGAATTTCGTACAAATTCCGCACGTACCCTAGAATGACGCATTAGAGCGTCCTATCAGCGGTCACCCCTGATGCAAACCCTGTGTTTCTGGGTCAACTGGAGAGTACGGGCACTTTTTAGTCAGATAGTATGAAAAGCCGGTGCACGTGTGCAGTTTGACTTTAGTGTATTTGGTGCGTGCTGAATCCGCAAACTGCACACCCCTTTACGTGTGCAAACAGCAGACCGTGTGGTTGTTGAAACGCCTAACGTCATGGTGCAGATATGCCCGGATGAGCACCCAGTAGAGCGGATCCAACGTGCGATGCACTGGCGCGAAACACTATTAAGAGGTCTTCATCTGGTTCGCGGGGGTGTGTGTGTGTGTCGCCCATCCCCCGCTCCAGTCAACCGACCGGCGCGGACAGTGGCTGTGGCGTAGAAATGGGAGGGAGAGTGAGTTCGACGACTCAGTGCATTTGCCTAACGATAAACAATGCGACGCGTTTGAAGCCCTCACGGTGCGCTACGAGTCGAGGCTGGGACGGTTGCCGACTACTAGGGATGACTTGGATCTCGCAGACAACGCAGTGTTTTATGTGCTTGTGTTCGGCTAGTGGTCTTAGTGTCAGGCTGCAATGGCTCCTTCCTAATGTGGTCTTTATGGCACTCGCACTGTGTATGATCTGAGCCGGGCTTGGGCGGCAGGCCTAGGTGCGGTTTCGGCCGTACCGAATTCTGTACATTCTGTTGGATATTGCCAACACCTGGTTATTTTAATGTTTAAACAGGGAGGTGTAGAGTGTAACGCCAAGGCCATGTCGTCCATCTGCGCCCTCCTCGTTTTCTGTCCTTATAACTCTGTCTTGACAACGTGTCACATATGCTGTACAAGTCTACTCTTACTACAAAACCGTGCGCAAATCTCTGATCTCACCCTGGTGTAAAACATACGCTGAGCATCTTCGTACTCGACAGTCGAACTGCCGTATGTGTTTTTGTGTTTTTTTGTGGGCATTTGTGTGTCTAGCAGCAACTGTTTGGCATCAGAAGCATACAGCTCATCGCTACCTTATCCGCCAGCTCATCTGAGCGTCCATTTGTCATCAACCTTCGCTTCTGCATTTTTACTTCCGGTGAGGACATTCTCTTCCCGTCAGTTTGTTCTACATGTTTTCCTTCATTTTTTGACGACATTTACCTCTTATGCCAATTACTGGCCTGCAATCAGTTTACTTGTCAACTTACGAATTATCATAACTAATTACACAGCCGGTATTTAGTTAGATTCAAGCAGTGCGGGTGAGGGAGATTTATACCATAGCACTCTTAAATCCAAAGTTGACAAAAATGTACAAGAAACCCTTTTCAGCGTCTTTTCTCCCAAAAGGCACTTATTCCAGTGGCCGTAAACACCTCTAGCTTTTACGCATCATTTTTGTTTAGAATGAAGTAAGCTTTTGGAATTACTTTAGAAGAAATTCAGCTCTAGCGTGATCAATGGGTTAGAGAAAGTCCATATCGGAATTACGTACGTGTAATATGGGGAGAAAACAACGAAAGTTGCTTGTTCGTTAGTGATAACTTTGCCCTAAGCGCACACGCGAGGAGAAGACTTTTCAGTTGTCTTTGATGCCGGTACGTTACAATCTTGAATCGTTCTACTGAGTGTTTACTCAAGCACGCATGAAATAATGTGTCAGCGATTTCATAAGCGTTCAGTCAGCTACCTACGATTGTCAATAACTGTGTTTACTGAGAATGTAACACGCGCCAAATACTCTATAGCCCACTGCACGCCTTCACCGATGTTTCATACTATCTGACTTAAAGGTGAATGCCCTTTTCAGTTGACGTTCAAACACAGGGATAGGATAAAGGGTGGCTACCAAAAGGACGGTTTCATACCCTTATCTAGGATTTCTGCATAATTCGCACGGAGGGACTCAGTACTCCTTGTTCGATCGAAATACCTGCCATCCGACTGGGACCACAGTTTGCGGTCTTATTTTGGAATCAGTCTGGCACATCGATAAACAAACAGTCCGATGCATACTGGTGAACTTACTTTACAGAAACGTGACACACTGTGCATTGCGGTGTTTCAGAATTGCTTTTTTTATCCAGCTTTTTATGGGGAACAGTGAGAAAAGTAATTATGAAGAATGTGTCAAAGCGAGGTTTAGGTATTATATGTCGAAGTAAATATTTTATAGTTTACAATATTTTCAACCACTAATTAGGCTTGATTCCGGACGCAGAGACTGCCATTGACGAGGTAGTAGGTAACAATATCTAATCGGATGATGATATGTAGTTAACAAGGATTTTGTAACTGTAATTTTTCTACTACGGTATAGAAATGACGCAGTCCAAATTCGTTCGTAGTATGCGAGTTTGGAGGCCTATCTCACGATTTTGCTCCATGTCTTAATGCAAGTCATAACCCACTTCGATATAAACCGTAAACCCATCAGCATAATCAGAAATGCGTCTCGTTAAGCCATGATCTACATTGAAGAACTGACTGTAAACGAACCGCTGATAACGATCCTTCGTTGACCCGGCAATTCAGTTCGGTGCACTTAACACTGCAGCGCAACGGCGATATTGAAACCAATGGAGCATTCCCCCAGGCCTCCGAATCTGCCACCTAGCGCCTCCCGAAGTAAGATCCACACTGTTGATCGAGCGGTACAGTACACTAAGCGACCCTTCACGCTTTACGATTGAATATGATTTGGCAGTTTGTTGTGTTGACCTAAACAGTGAATTTCTCGGTTTAGCTTTTTCACTGAGACGCAGACCTGACAGATTCAGGCACACCGTGGTGTTCAAATGTCGATTTAACTGGAGTTGGGAAACTGGACTTTGCATAGTTGAAACCCTACAGATTCCAGTGCCCAGGCATGGTGTGTTATTTTGTCTGCAGTTTGCATACATTGTCATATCTGCTTGACATCCTGTACTGAACGCATTTGCCGCATGTCTTCCATTTGTCAGACTGACATGTGGCAACACAGTGACAGTGTGGTTCTGATCGACCACGCCCACGCATTCCTCCCCAGGATAATCAACAAAGTCTTAGCACAGACTATGAAGGGTATGACGAATTGTGGGCAGGAAGCAAACCTGCGGGCCTCGTGCAGACGGTAGGTCAGGCAATTTGCGGCAAATCAGCTTAACCAGTCAGACTGCGTCAGTCGTTTGGGAGAGATTTCAAAGGAGCAAGTATTAGTCGGCCATTTTGGCCATTTTGTGCACACATAGCCCATTGAGTGACACAAAGGCACTCTTTGAAGCCGCAGGCTGACGCAGACCCTGTGTTGCTGGGGTCATCCATTAGCTTTTGCCTCAGGCATTTTGAAAAATAGTTTGGTGTGTGCAGTGTATAATAATGTCCCACCCGTAACATTCACGGCCTATTCGACTTTACGGAGCCCTAATCAGTGGACTAGGATAAAGGGAAGGGCAGGACCGAAATCCCGACCCAAAATGCTACATATCTACCAGTTTGCTCGCGCACCGACGCCGAGCTTTTATCAGAAATGGAACAAACTTCGCATGCCAGTGAACGGACAGGGAGATCTTTGTCCCCTTAACTGAAAACCATGTTTTATTTCCGTTTTTCAGCCAATTTGGCTCGTCCAGCAAACTGTACACTTTCACTACTCTCGTTGACCTTCTTTCACCATACCACCCTGCTGGAGGCCTGTTTCCTTTTAAGTCCATTTTAATTCTTTTTTTTTCTGCGTTTGTCT